CTGCGCTCTCAGGTACCGCGCCGGCTTCGGGCTCCCTCACCTTCACACTTGACTCAGGGGCTTCTCGCTCCTTCTTTCGAGACCGCACCACACTCACGCCGCTTGGTCGGCCGGTTGCAGTCTCCTTGGCAGACCCCTCCGGGGGTCCTGTCCTTTCTCACTTCTCCACTGTCCTCTCGTGTCCGGCTGCCCCCTCTGGCACCTTGTCTGGTCTTTACCTCCCCTCGTTCTCTACAAACTTGGTGAGTGGTGCTGACCTACAGGATGCGGGGGTTCACCAGTTTACTCCTGCGAGTCAGCGGGTGACCCACTGCTCGGACGCTCGCACAGGCCGGCACCTGGCCACGTTTACGCGTCGGCCGGGGTCGAGCCTGTACACCCTGACCACTGAGTCTCCTCCTGTCCCTGCGTCTGGTCAGGTAGCTGCGTCGGGTCAGGTGTTTGCTGCAGCGTCCAGGTCTGGTCCTGAGTCTGCCCCCTGCTCGTGTCGCCTTCTGTCTCACGAGACTCTCTTGTGGCACCACCGCCTTGGTCACCCCTCCCTGCCTCGTCTCCGGGCATGGCCTCCCGTGTCCTTGTCTCTGGTCTTCCCCGGTCCCTCCCTCCCCTTCCTCCGGGGCCTGGCCCTTCCTGCGTCCCCTGTGTCGAGGGGCGGCTGCGGGCTTCCCCTCACTCCTCTCAGTTTCCCCCGACAGAGGCCCCGCTGCAGACGCTTCACATGGACGTGTGGGGCCCGGCCCGCGTCCGTGGACAGGGTCACGAGCGCTACTTCCTGCTGGTGGTTGACGACTACTCGCGTTACACCAAAGTCTTCCCCTTGCGCAGCAAGGGTGATGTCACTGAGGTGTTGATCGACTGGATCCGCGCAGCTCGTCTCCAGCTCAGGAGGAGCTTTGGCTCAGACTTTCTTGTTCTGCGTCAGCACTCTGACCGAGGCGGAGAGTTCTCCTCTGGCCTTCTGCGAGCCTACTGTCGCGCGCGAGGCATCCGTAAGACCTTTACGCTTCCGGACTCTCCACAGAAAATGGGATTGCTGAGCGCCGCATTGGCATGGTCATGGACGTCGCCCGTACGTCCATGATGCATGCGGCTGCCCCCCATTTTCTGTGGCCGTTTGCGGTTCGGTACGCGGCGCATCAGATCAACCTTCACCCCAGGGTCTCCATGCCGGAGACCTCCCCAGCTTTGCTGTGCACGGGGAAGGTAGGCGATGCGTCTGCGTTCCGTGTCTGGGGATCTCGGGTGTTTGTCCACGACTTGTCTGCGGACAACCTGTCCCCTCGTGCTGCTCCTTGCGTCTTCCTTGGCTTCCCCCCTGACGCGCCAGGGTGGCAGTTCTACCACCCCACCTCTCGTCGTGTTCTGTCCTCCCAGGACGTCACGTTTGACGAGTCAATCCCCTACTACCACCTCTTCCCCTACCGCACTCCTTCCCTCCCCCCGCCACCGCTCTTCCTTGTGCCAGGTCCCCCCCAGGTAGACCCCCTCCCCCCTCAGGGTCCTGCCCCTTCAGGTGTTTCCCAGGTAGACGTAGTCGAGCCTGTCAAGGTTACTGGTGACTCTGGTGCTGCTGCGGGTGCTGAGCCTGGGGGTGCTGACTCTGGGGGTGCTGAGCGTGTGGGTGCTGGGCCTTCGGGTGGTACTACTAGGGGTGCTGAGCCTTGGGGTGCTGAGACTGGGGGTGCTGAGCCTGGGGGTGCTACGCCTGGGGGTGCTGAGCCTGGGGGACCTACGTCAGGAGGTGCTGACCCTGGGGGTGCCACGTCGGGAGCTGCTGAGCCTGGAGGTGCGAAGCCGGCGATAGCTGGGCCTGCTCGTGTGGCGTCTGGCGGTGCTAGGCCTGGAGGTCCTCCGGGTGCCTCGTCTCGGCGGGAGCCACTCTCTTCACAGGAGCTGCGCGAGTGGTTTGCCCGGCGCTGGAGGGGTACTACAGGAGCTGGAGCTTCTTCGGCTGCTGAAGGTGCTGGTGCTGCCGGTTCCGGAGGTGCTCGTCCTGGGGGTGTTGGCGCAGAGGGAGCTGCTGAGGGTGTTGGCGGTGAGACTACTGCTGTCAGTACTGGCGGCGGTCCTGCTGGGGTTGCTACTGGTGCTGCTGGAGGTACTGCAGCTGGAGGTGCTGTTGGCGCTGGTGCTGCCGCTGGGGGTGCTGGTGCTGTCCCTGCTGTGTCTGGAGTCGCCGCGCGGCCTCGGCCGTACTTCGTTCCGCTCCTTCAGCAGGTTCTTGGTCCTCCTCCTCCCTTAAAGTGTCCACAGCCTGTCTAGTCACAGTCACAGTTACCGCCGGCCTCCCCACTGCCTGCTCCTTCTCCCTACACTGGTCCTACTAGAGGTCTTGCTGAGCGTTGTGAGCCTGCGTCTCGTCCTGCGTCACCTGTTCGTGCTGCTCGCACTAGTGGTCGCGGTTCGCGTCAGCGTCCTCCTCCTGTCCCTGGCACGCACCGGATGTCTCTACGTCCGTCCACTACTCCTCTGCAAGTCCCTTTGCCTTCTCCTCCTGCGTCCTCTCTTCCTGCCCTTGCCGACCCGGAGTCGGACTCTCTTCGTGCTGCCAGTCCTACTGTCACGCGTCTCCTTGCTACTATCGTCACTGACCCCTCCTTTGAGTCCACTGCTGCGTCTGCTCTAGTTGCTGAGCTCGTCGACTTTGCTGCTCGCTGTCGTCTAGACTACGCTGCTAGTCTCGTTGCTAAGTCTGCGTCTGTCTGTCCTCCGTCCGTCGGGGGTGAGTGTGCTCTTGGCACGGACGTCCTTGAGGACAGGCAGGAGGAGTTCCAGTGTCTGGCTGCTGCTTCACCTCATCTCGTGGCTGTACTGCTTACCCCTGAGGGAGACCCGGATGCACTTGACATCCCGACTCCGCGCTCTTACGCGGAGGCCGTAGAGGGTCCCTACTCCTCTCAGTGGCGGGCAGCTATGGATGCAGAGATGGCTTCCTGGAAGTCCACAGGCACCTACGTTGACGCGGTTCCCCCACCTGGGGCGAACATCGTCAGTGGCATGTGGATCTTCAGGGTGAAGCGGCCGCCAGGTTCTCCACCTGTCTTCAAGGCGCGGTACATGGCTCGCGGCTTCAGTCAGCGGCAGGGAGTTGACTACTTTCAGACCTTCTCTCCCACCCCGAAGATGACCACTCTTCGGGTGCTGCTGCACATAGCCGCTCAGCGCGACTACGAGCTTCACTCTCTTGACTTCAGCACTGCTTTCTTGCAGGGTAGCCTGCACGAGGAGATCTGGCTGCGCCGCCCACCTGGCTTCACTGGGACTTTTCCTCTTGGCACCCAGTGGAGCCTCCGGCGGCCAGTCTACGGTCTCCGCCAGGCACCGCGTGAGTGGCACGACACACTGAGGACTACACTTGCGGCTCTTGGGTTTGCTCCCTCTACTGCAGACCCGTCGCTGTTTCTGCGCATCGACACTTCTTTGCCGCCGTTCTACATCCTCGTGTACGTCGACGACTTGGTCTTTGCCACTGCTGACACTTCTGGACTCGCTCACGTGAAGTCCGAGCTGCAGAAGAGACACACGTGCACAGACCTGGGCGAACTGCGCATCTACCTTGGCTTGCAGATCACCCGGGACAGAGCACGCCGCACCATTACCCTGACTCAGTCACACATGGTGCAGCAGGTCCTTCAGCGCTTCGGCTTCACGTACTCCTCGCCTCAGGCCACTCCTCTGCCTACTCGCCAGTCGCTCTCAGCTCTGCCTTCGGATGAGTCCGTAGAGTCGAGTGGCCTGTACCCAGAGCTTGTTGGCTGCCTCATGTACCTGATGACCTGCACACGACCTGACCTTGCATACCCTCTTAGCATTCTCGCACGCTATGTTGCTCCTGGGAGACACAGACCGGAGCACATGGCTGCAGCGAAGAGGGTGTTGCGCTACTTGTGCAGTACGTCGGGCATGGGGCTAGTGCTTGGAGGGCAGAGTCCAGTGGTCCTCACTGGGCACGCAGACGCTTCTTGGGCTGACGACCAGGCTACACAGCGGTCGTCACAGGGTTACACCATCAGCCTTGGTTCCGGCTCTGTTTCGTGGCGGGCTACTCGCTCCTCTTCCGTTCTCGGCTCCAGTTGTGAGGCTGAGATCTACGCAGGAGCCATGGCTGCTCAGGAGCTTCGCTGGCTCACCTACGTGCTGACTGACCTCGGAGAGCCGCCTCGTTCTCCTCCAGTGCTGTACGTAGACAACAAGGCCATGCTGGCCTTGTGTCGAGAGCTGCGCCTGGAGCACAGAACGAAGCACATTGCTCTCCACTACTTTCTTGCTCGTGAGCTGCAGCAGCGTGGTCAGTTGCGACTTGCGTACGTGGCCTTTGAGGCCAACACTGCTGATATCTTCACTAAGGCACTTGCGCCTTGTGATTATCAGCGCTTCTGTACTCAGCTGGGTCTTGTGCCTGTCTTGCCTCACCTGCTCACTTCTTGACCTTGCTTGTACTGTCACATATATATACTCCTGCTCTTGCTTGTTTAGTCTTTTATATATATATGTGCTCCTGCATGTGAACCGGCCTTCTGGCCTTGAACTTGTGCTCGGAATGTGTGGTGACTTTGTGATCCACCCTGAGCCTTGCTTTGCTTTGCTTGACTGGTCTTGTGACCCCTTGTTCTCCCCCACTTTGCCTATGGGGGTGTGTCGAATTATAATGTTGCGTAGGCTGTAGTGGGGTAGCCTATATGGGGTACACATTTTTAGGGTTGCATATTTGTATCACTTTCATTCCTTAGTGCACGCATTTCTCGTTTCAGTTTTCTCACTACGCGTGGACCTTACTTAGCGACACCTGTTTACTCGCGCACTTGACTAGGTGACAATATAGGCAATACTGTGGAACCTAATAATCCAAAAAGGGAAATAAAAACAAGGAATGTAGAGTAAACCATGCATGGTTTGAGAATGTAACTTCCCACAAAACCATCGCAACACTCTTTCCTGAAGTAGTATGAATGTATCACGAAAGCGCTACTGCGGTCCAAGGGATGAAGAGATATAAAAAAATGGGTATCGCGGTACGAGGGTAGTCCACAGGATTGAGCAATATTTAGAGCACGTCGCGTCGCGCAATTATTTCTCAAATGTGCGTGAGTTGGATTGCCACATGATTCTGATGAATGTGTTTCACGTGACACCACCTTCCTAATCTGATGATGTTCTGACTTAGAGGCCTTTCCTAAAAGAGTCCATTTTCCTCAACAAGTAGACTTTCACGGAAGTCCTAGGTGTATCCCCTCTACAGTCCCATTTTTGGCGGGAAATCTTGCATCTTGGCTTAATCATTGCGCAAATCAGTTCTACAGCCAATCAGAGGACGTAAATCAAACCTGTCAGACTATTCACGGAATATAGAAATAAAGAAACGTATTGATTTACTTTTTACTTTTGCAGTTGTTATTGTCTGTTTATCTTGAACGCGCTTGTGTCTAAATCATTTTGTGCGGTTCCCCCGAGCTCGACGATGCCATCTCATTAATCTCGCTTACAGAGTAAGACGAAGAATGTTGTCTTTCATTTCGGCCTTGAAAATAATTGATTTTGTATTTTTCTGCCCGTTTGTCTTGCGAGATTGATCAACGCGGCGAACTGTGCAACGTGAAGTTGAAGATAGCGTGGTCCGAATGTACGCATGTGACAGGAAAAACGACTAGTAGCGAAGGAAAATTGCTCTTCATGCAATTTTCCTATAGCGGGACTATAAGTTCCACTTTGCCCGGGGTTTGTGTGTTCTCCACAAAGGCCCGCAGCGCTCGTGTTTTTTACGGGGACTCTAATAAAAAACATTTGTAGCGATTTCTTCTGACTGCCCTAAAAACGTTTTGTTTCCGGTTCGTCGCCATAGTAGAAACTGTTTCAGGCCTAAACTTTCGCGGGCAGAGTTTGTTTTTACAATGTACTGTTCTGTTCTGCCACTTCCCCAGTCCTTGCCTGAAGTTGCACAAACCACCTTCCCCACCCAGCTATCACGTTTTCCTCCCACCCCGCCATTGCCTATCCCACTCACCCACTGTTGCCATCTCCCTCCCACCCCGCCGTCACCTCTCTCCCCCACCCCGCCATCGCCTCTCCCTCCGCTGTCGCCTCTCCCTCCGCCGTCGCCTCTCCCTCCGCCGTCGCCTCTCCCTCCGCCGTCGCCTCTCCCTCCGCCGTCGACTCTTCCTCCGCCGTCGCCTCTCCCTCCGCCGTCGCCTCTCCCTCCGCCGTCGCCTCTCCCTCCGCCGTCGCCTCTCCCTCCGCCGTCGCCTCTCCCTCCCCCGTCGCCTCGCCCTCCCCATCGTCGCCTCCCTCCCTCCCCGTCGTCGCCTTCCCTTCCCTTCCCGCCGTCGCCTCTGGCGACAGGCGCACGAGTGGAGCGCGGGTTGGTGCGCGACCGTGGGTTTGTGCGCGTCCGCGGATTGGTGCGCCACCGCGGGCTGGTTTCTCAGGTTCGTTTACCTTTCCTGGTCCCTTTTTGCTCCCTTACGCCTCTGATATTCCATGTTTTTTTCTGGTTTCATCTTTGTTTTTGTGTGTCGATTGATCTCTTGTTCCGTTGCACATTCATTTGGGGAAGAGGAGAGACGGAGCGCGAGGGAGAGCGTGTGCACGGGAGCGAGCACGTTGCGCGTGAGAGTGCACGTGAGGGAGCGCGTGAGCGAGCGCTTGAGAGAGCGCGTGAGAGAGCGCGTGAGAGAGCGCGTGAGAGAGCGCGTGAGAGAGCTAGTGAGAGTGCGTATGAGAGTGCGCGTGGGAGTGCGCGTGAGAGTGCGCGTGAGAGTGCGCGTGAGAGTGCGCGTGAGGGAGGGCGTGAGAGCGAGTGAGAGAGTGAGTGAGAGTGCGTGTTAGGGAGCGTGTGAGGTGCACGTTAGAGTGCGCGTGAGAGAGCACATTAGGGAGCGTGTGTGAGAGTGCGCGTGAGAGAGCGCGTAAGAGTGCGCGTGAGAGTGCTCGTGAGAGAGCGCGTGAGAGAGCGCGTGAGAGTGCGCATAAGGAAGCGCGTGAGAGTGCGCGTGAGAGAGCGCGTGAGGGAGCGCGTGAGAGAGCGCGTGAGGGAGCGCGTGAGAGAGAGCGCGTGAGAAAGCGAGTGAGAGAGTGAGTGAGAGTGCGCATGAGAGTGCGCGTGAGAGAGTGAGTGAGAGTGCGCATGAGAGTGCGCGTGAGAGTGCGCGTGAGAGTGCGCGTGAGAGTGCGCGTGAGGGAGCGCGTGAGAGCGAGTGAGAGAGTGAGTGAGAGTTCGTGTTAGGGAGCGTGTGAGGTGCGCGTTAGAGTGCGCGTGAGAGAGCACATTAGGGAGCGTGTGTGAGAGTGCGCGCGTGAGAGCGCGTAAGAGTGCGCGTGAGAGTGCTCGTGAGAGAGCGCGTGAGAGAGCGCGTGAGAGTGCGCATAAGGAAGCGCGTGAGAGTGCGCGTGCGAGTGCGCGTGAGAGAGCGCGTGAGGGAGCGCGTGAGAGAGCGCGTGAGGGAGCGCGTGAGAGCGCGTGAGAGAGCGAGTGAGAGTGCGTATGGGAGTGCGTGTGGGAGTGCGCGTGAGAGTGCGCGAGAGAGAGACCGCGTGAGAGAGTGAGTGAGAGAGTGAGTGAGAGTGCGCATGAGAGTGCGCGTGAGAGAGTGAGTGAGAGTGCGCATGAGAGTGCGCGTGAGAGTGCGCGTGAGAGTGCGCGTGAGAGTGCGCGTGAGAGAGCGCGTGAGGGAGCGCGTGAGAGAGCGCGTGAGGGAGCGCGTGAGAGAGCGCGTGAGAGAGCGAGTGAGAGTGCGTATGGGAGTGCGCGTGGGAGTGCGCGTGAGAGTGCGCGTGAGAGTGCGCGTGAGAGAGCGCGTGAGAGAGCGCATGAGGGAGCACGTGAGAGCGAGTGAGAGTGAGAGTGCGTGTTAGGGAGCGCGTGAGGTGCGCGTGAGAGTGCGCGTAAGAGAGCACATGAGGGAGCGCGTGAGAGAGCGTGTGAGAGAGCGAGTGAGAGTGCGCGTGAGAGTGCGTGTGAGAGTGCGCGTGAGAGAGCGCGTAAGAGTGCGCGTGAGAGTGCGCGAGAGAGAGCGCGTGAGAGAGCGCGTGAGAGAGCGCGTGAGAGTGCCATGAGGGAGCGCGTGAGACAGCGAGTGAGAGAGCGAGTGAGAGTGCACATTAGGGAGCGCGTGAGGTGCGCGCGAGAGTGCGCGTGAGAGAGCGCGTGAGAGTGCGCGTGAGAGAGCGCGTGAGAGTGCGCGTGAGAGAGCGCGTGAGAGAGCGAGTGAGAGTGCGCGTGAGAGTGCGCGTGAGGGTGCGCATGCGCGTGAGTGTGCGCGTGAGAGATCACATGAGGGAGCGAGTGGGAGTGCGCGTGAAAGAGTGTGTGAGAGAGCGCGTGAGAGTGCGCATGAGAATGCGCGTGAGTGAGCACGTGAGAGTGCAAGTGAGAGTGCGCGTGAAAGTGCGCGTGAGAGAGCGAGTGAGAGTGCGCATGGGAGTGCGTGTAAGGGTGTGCGTGAGAGTGCGCGTGAGAGGGCGAGTGGGAGAGCGCATGAGAGAGCGCGTGAGAGTGTGCGTGAGATTGCGCGTGAGAGAGCGCGTGAGGGAGCGCGTGAGGGAGCGCGTGAAGGAGCGCGTGAGAGAGCGAGTGAGAGAGCGAGTGAGAGTGCGCCGTTGGCGCGGCCGCCGTGAGTGCTAGTGCCTAACTAACTCGCTTGCTCTTGGGGCGCTAAAGCCGTGGGTGCTGGCCCCTAAGGCGCTGGCGCCTAAGGCGCTTGTGGCTAGGGCTTTGGCGCCGTGGGCACGACGACGTGGGTGCTAGCGCCTAAGGTGCTGGTGCGGTGGGCTCGGGCGTCTTGTGCACTTGATGAACCCAAGGAGACCGTGAGGGCGTCTTGTGCACTTGATGAACCCAAGGACACCGTGAGGGCGTCTTGTGCACTTGATTTGGGTGCTGGCACCTTGGAGACGGCCTCCGTGAGGGCGGGAGTGAAATGCGCGCATGCACTTAAGGGCGAGTGGGGTTGTGAGCACAAGGGCGAGTGCGAGGGTGAATGAGGGAGCAAGTGCAAGCGTGACTGCTAGAGCGTGTGCGAAGGCGAGTGGGAACACAAGGGTGAGAGTGAGGGCGAGTGTGAGTGTGAGGGTGAGCTTGAGTGTGAGTGCGAGCGTGAGTGTGTGTGTGAGTGCAAGGGGGAAAGCTCGTGCAAGTTGTACTCTCTGTTTTTGCTTTTGTTTGTGCAGGGAGTGTGAGATGCATTCTCTTTTTGCTTTCTTGGGCAGGGAGTGTGCGTTTCTTTTGCTGTTTTGCTTTCTTGTGCAGAAAGTGTGAGTTTCCTTCGCTGCTTTTTCCTTCTTGTGCAGGGAGTGCGAATTTCCTTTGCTCTTTCTGCTTTTTGGTGCAGGGAGTGTAAGTTTCCTAGCTGCACTCTCTGTTTTTGTTTTCTTGTGCAATGCTATGAGGTGTAATCTTTGTTTTTACTCTCTTGTGCAGTGCAGGTGAGTTGTTTCCTGCTTGGCCTCCTCGTAGGGCACGTAAGTTGCATTTTCTGCTTATTGCTTTCTTGCACACAGTGTGTGAACATCCTCTGTTTTTGCTTTCTTGTGTAGGGCGTGTGCTGCATTCTCTGTTTGTCCTTTGTACACGGTGCGTGAGCTGCATTCTTTGATTATGTTTGGCGGAGAAGGGAGACGAGGGAGGCAATGGGAGGGAGATGAGGTAGGGAGGGAGGGAGGGAGGGAGGGAGGGAGGGAGGGAGGGAGGGAGGGAGGGAGGGAGGGAGGGAGGGAGGGAGGGAGGGAGGGAGGGAGGGAGGGAGGGAGGGAGGGAGGGAGGGAGGGAGGGAGGGAGGGAGGGAGGGAGGGAGGGAGGGAGGGAGGGAGGGAGGGAGGGAGGGAGGGAGGGAGGGAGGGAGGGAGGGAGGGAGGGAGGGAGGGAGGGAGGGAGGGAGGGAGGGAGGGAGGGAGGGAGGGAGGGAGGGAGGGAGGGAGGGAGGGAGGGAGGGAGGGAGGGAGGGAGGGAGGGAGGGAGGGAGGGAGGGAGGGAGGGAGGGAGGGAGGGAGGGAGGGAGGGAGGGAGGGAGGGAGGGAGGGAGGGAGGGAGGGAGGGAGGGAGGGAGGGAGGGAGGGAGGAGGGAGGGAGGGAGGGAGGGAGGAGGGAGGGAGGGAGGGAGGGAGGGAGGGAGGGAGGGAGGGAGGGAGGGAGGGAGGGAGGGAGGGAGGGAGGGAGGGAGGGAGGGAGGGAGGGAGGGAGGGAGGGAGGGAGGGAGGGAGGGAGGGAGGAGGGAGGGAGGGAGGGAGGAGGGAGGGAGGGAGGGAGGGAGGGAGGGAGGGAGGGAGGGAGGGAGGGAGGGAGGGAGGGAGGGAGGGAGGGAGGGAGGGAGGGAGGGAGGGAGGAGGGAGGGAGGGAGGGAGGGAGGGAGGGAGGGAGGGAGGGAGGGAGGGAGGGAGGAGGGAGGGAGGGAGGGAGGGAGGGAGGGAGGGAGGGAGGGAGGGAGGGAGGGAGGGAGGGAGGGAGGGAGGGAGGGAGGGAGGGAGGGAGGGAGGGAGGGAGGGAGGGAGGGAGGGAGGGAGGGAGGGAGGGAGGGAGGGAGGGAGGGAGGGAGGGAGGGAGGGAGGGAGGGAGGGAGGGAGGGAGGGAGGGAGGGAGGGAGGGAGGGAGGGAGGGAGGGAGGGAGGGAGGGAGGGAGGGAGGGAGGGAGGGAGGGAGGAGGGAGGGAGGGAGGGAGGGAGGGAGGGAGGGAGGGAGGGAGGGAGGGAGGGAGGGAGGGAGGGAGGGAGGGAGGGAGGGAGGGAGGGAGGGAGGGAGGGAGGGAGGGAGGGAGGGAGGGAGGGAGGAGGGAGGGAGGGAGGGAGGGAGGGAGGGAGGGAGGGAGGGAGGGAGGGAGGGAGGGAGGGAGGGAGGGAGGGAGGGAGGAGGGAGGGAGGGAGGGAGGGAGGGAGGGAGGGAGGGAGGGAGGGAGGGAGGGAGGGAGGGAGGGAGGGAGGGAGGGGAGGGAGGGAGGGAGGGAGGGAGGGAGGAGGGAGGGAGGGAGGGAGGGAGGGAGGGAGGGAGGGAGGGAGGGAGGGAGGGAGGGAGGGAGGGAGGGAGGGAGGAGGGAGGGAGGGAGGGAGGGAGGGAGGGAGGAGGGAGGGAGGAGGGAGGGAGGGAGGGAGGGAGGGAGGGAGGGAGGGAGGGAGGGAGGGAGGGAGGGAGGGAGGGAGGGAGGGAGGGAGGGAGGGAGGGAGGAGGGAGGGAGGAGGGAGGGAGGGAGGGAGGGAGGGAGGGAGGGAGGGAGGGAGGGAGGGAGGGAGGGAGGGCTAGCGATGATTTATTAATAGCTGAATTTCATGAAGGTTGTGTGTTGTCTAAATGTATCTGTGCTTGTTTGCGTGTGTGTCTGTGTGCGTGTGTGTCGGTGTGTACATGAATATGTATGAGCTTGTTTGTGTCGTTTGTGTCTGTCTCAAGGCGTGTGCTAAAGTGCCTTGTGTATGCAACTCAGGTTGTGATCGTAGGTGGGGCAATAGCCTTAGTGTGTCAGACAAACCTTTGTTGCATCATCGATGCATTTTAGCAATCTCCATATTGCACTCACAATTGTTATATATTGTCATCTTTGTTGTACCATGTTTGTTGTAAGGTGCCATGTTAAAGTGTGTGGGTCTGCACTTGAGGCGGCAATCGTTGCTGGGGCAGCGTTCCTCGCCTTAGCATACCGGATCCGTCGCTATTGTAGCACGGACGCATTTTACCATACACTTAATGACATCTGTGATTGTTACGTGTTGTCGTTTTCACACATGTTCAATGGATGCAAGTACCATAATTTGCAGCCGTGTTGAATTTGTTGTCTCGTCAATTGTGTTTGACATAGAACAAGGCCAGGCTACCAATTGTTTCCAGGTTACATTTGGTTTCACTTTTTTTGGAAACTCATATGTATCAGTGCTGTTATCTCCATGTGTTCGCAGCACCCAGGGCCAAAAATTGGTTTCGGGGTACCCTGCCATATCAGGGTCCCCCTGGCCCCTTTGCCTGACAGTCAGGGTGAAAAAAAAATTGCCAAGTGCTAATCAGTGTGTTTTGGCCAGTATTCTGTCTTTGTAAGGGTATTTATGGAACCACCCTGAATGCAAGAGCAAAATCCAAATGCCACTACCTCATACTTGTGGTGTGGTGTGTTTTGTAGAGCTGACAGAGCGAAAGTGACTGCTGGGGCCAGTTTTGTAACCAATCTCAGTCGAGTGGCCACACCACACGGGCCCTGTTGCATAGAAATGACACGAAGGAAGTCTGTTTCAGTGCATTTCAAAAAGTACCCTGACTCGTCAGGGGAAAACTCGGGGAGGCCTGATTTTGGAAGTGTATTTCAAAAACTACATTTTTACAGTCAGGGTCGTTTGGCAAATACACGTACTAAATCAGGGCAATCCTGGAAAAGCGGCCCATAGCAAGGGTAGAAAGGGTAAAACACCCTTGAATTTTGGGCCCTGGGAGCACCCGGTTTAAAAAAGCGTTAAATCAAGTGCTTTCGGCGTAGGGAAAAAAAGACAAAAAATGCAATGTTCATTTGAGTCGACCGAAAAAAGTGCAACCAATCGTAAAGGGGGTGCTGCGCAACCCAAAAATTGTTGAACGCCTCGCCTCACCAAAATGGTTTCGCAACCGACATTGCTGTCGAGAGAGTTTAGGAGAAGTGGTTTTGTTAGGTCTAGGTGTCAAATATTATAGCCTGTAGTGGGTTGGGCTATATGGGGTACAACTAGTTAGGGTTAGGTGATGTACCCCAATCCTGTCAACACAACGCATTCCGCTGTAGTTCTCATTCTGACATGGTATCAGCAGTAGGTTAGCGCTCCTAGTCCTAGGCCCGCCCTTCCCTACCACTAGGGTTACCACTGCACCCTGCCAGCCCGCCAGCGCCCTACCCCACGCCCCAGCCGACGTGCCCCTCCCCTCCCCGCCCTTAGCCAGCGCGCCCGCCAGCCAGCCAGCGCGCCAGCCAGCCAGCGCGCCAGCAGCCTGCGCGCCAGCCAGCCAGCCAGCGCGCCAGCCAGCCAGCGCGCCAGCAGCCTGCGCGCCAGCCAGCCAACGCGCCAGCCCGCCAGCGCGACAGCCAGCCAGCGCGCCAGCCCGCCAGCGCGCCAGCCAGCCAGCGCGCCAGCCAGCCAGCGCGCCAGCGCGCCAGCCAGCCTGCGCGCCAGCCCGCTTGCACGCCAGCCCGCCAGCGCGCCCGCCAGCGGGCGCACCAGCGAGCCCGCCGGCTCGCCTGCCAGCGCGCCCGCCAGCGAGCTCGCCAGCGCGCCCGCCAGCACGCACGCCAGCGCGCCCGCTAGCGCGTCTGCCAGCGCGCCACGCCAGCGGGCCCCGCCAGCGCGCACGCCAGCGTGCCGCGCCCGCCAGCGCGCGCCCTGCTTAGCCGCCCGCCAGCGCGCCGCGCCTGCGTGCCACGCCAGCCAGCGCGCCGCGCCGGAGTGCGCCCCGCCGCCCCGCGCCCAGCCAGTGCGCACCCCGCCTGCGCGCACCCGCCTCGCACTCACCTCCCTCTCCTCCTCCTCTCGCGGCTGGCGGCCGCTATCACTTGTCCTCGCCCCTCATGGCGACGTCTCGCGTGCTCCGTTTCGACCCTGAGGGGCGTGCGATCGACTTTAGTACCTGGCTGACGCAGGCCCAGCGCCACCTTAGGAGCCAGCGCCAGGATGGCGTGCACCTGTTTGCGCATGCGTCCGGTGCTCTGCCCGCCCCGCCGCAGCCTTCACCGCTGCCCACTACCCCACCGCCTACTTCCGAGCAGGAGGCTGAGTACCAGCGCCGGTTCCTCGCTCGTGACGTGTGGGAGTCTCGTGACGCTGCTGCCTGCCTCGCCCTGACCGACCTTCTCCCGCCGACTGAGGCTGTCCACTTCACTCAGGTCGAGTCTGCTGCAGACCTTTACACTGCTATTGTTGCTCGCTACTCCACTCCCTCCTCTGCCTCCCTCAGCCGCCTCCTCGTCCCCTTTATCTACCCTGACCTCGCCTCCTTTGAGACTGTCGCTGACCTCGCTACCCACCTGCGCTCCCTTGAAGCTCGCTTCAAGGCCGCTTGCACTAAGGAACAACTTGCCCTTGCACCCCCCCCCATGTGGCTCACTATTCACTGGTTAGTCACTCGCCTCCCTGACCGTCTAGCCACAGCCCGCGACGCGCTTCTCCTGAAGCACCCCACTGAGCTTACTATCGATCTTCTTGAGACCGCTCTCTCGAAGATCGAGAGTAACCTCCTCGCTGTTGCCTCCGCCTCTTCCGCGCCTCCTCCTCGTCTCTTTGAGGGGTGTGCGTTACCACAGCTTCCCACCTTCACTGCCTCGCTTGCCACTGCCGCGTCTTTTGCCTCTGAGGAGACGGCGGCCGTTTCTGTCTCTGGCGGACAGAAACGTGGCAAGTCCGGCAAGAAGGGAGGGAAGGGCGGCGGGGGTTCTGGGGGTGTTGCGGGTGGCGGCGGTGGCGGTAGTACTAGTGGCGGGGCTGGCGGCGGGGGTGACTCGGGACCTGACGGCTCTCCTCTAGACGGTGGTGAGGGGTTTTCGCAGCAGCAGCAGCAAACTCCTCCGCAGCTGCCATCCGCCTGGACAGCAGCAGCGGCAGGGATAGCAGCAGCAGCGCCAGGGCCAACAGCAGCGTCCGCCTCAGCAGCAGCCCCAGCAGTGGGGCACTCTGCAGCAGTGGGGCACTCAGCAGCAGTGGGGCCCTTCGCAGCAGTGGGCCCCCCCGCAGCAGTGGAGACCTACGGGCCCCCCGAGCACTGGGCGCAGTGGTGCCCCTTCTAGTCGGGGACCCCGCTCGGCCGGCCGCGACGTTGGTCCCTGTGAGTACTGGATCCTGACGGGTCCGCGCAGGGGCACGTACTGCGGCCGCCCTGACCACTCTGCTGCACGCTGCTTCAGTCGTCTTGACGACCTGTACGTCCTGCACCACGGTCCCTCCGCTCCCCCGCCACCGCGCTGGGGACCACTCCTTGCTCGTGGTGTTGCTGTGTTTGATATGCCTATGGATGATGCTAGGTCTTATGCCATGTATGCTGATGTTGACTATAGTGCTGTCGGATCTGTTTATTTGCCTGTTGCTAGAGTAGGTGCTGGTGTAGGATCCTGTCTAGCTACTAGTACAGGTGCTCCCTCGGCGGACGCGTCGCTCTCCTTCACACTGGACTCCGGAGCGACGCAGTGCTTCTTCCGCGACAGCACGACTCTTACTCCACTCTCGGCGCCGGTTTCTGTAGCACTGGCCGATCCCTCTTCGGGACCGGTCATTGCGACTCACGCCACTACCCTCCCGTGCCCAGCTGCCCCTTCCGGTTCTCTGACCGGCCTCCACGTTCCTACTTTCTCTAGGAACCTGGTTGGTGTGGCTCCTCTGGCGAGACAACACGCTGGGGTCTGGTTTGAGCCTTCGGGTGACACTGCAGTCTGTGTGGACGGTGACACGTATGCCCCTCTGGCCACTTTTCGTCAGGAGCCGGGCTCTGGTCTGTACACCCTCCACAACGACACCCGTCCGGTTCCCCCGTCCCACCAGGTAGCCAGGTCCAGTCAGGTAGCTGTGCCAGGTCTAGTGGCTGCGTCGTGCTCGTGTCGGTCGCTGTCCCACCCTGCCCTCCTCTGGCACCACCGCCTTGGTCACCCGTCCCTCTCTCGTCTCCGCGCTATGTCCAGTCAGCGTCTTGTCTTAGGCCTCCCCCGCGACCTCCCGCCGCTCCCGCCGTCCCCCGCTCCTCCGTGCGGTCCTTGTGTCCAGGGTCGGCTGCGCGCCACTCCTCACTCCTCCTCCCTTCGTCCAGCCTCCGAGCCCTTTGAGACACTCCACTTAGACGTCTAGGGGCCCCGCTCCACGGCTTGGACCTGAGCGAGAGAGCTTCTTCCTAGTGGTCGTTGACGACTACTCTCCGTACACCACTGTGTTCCCTTTGGCGAAGAAGTCCGACGTGACTTCTACGCTGATCCGGTGGCTGCTCGCCACCGAGAGTACTCGTCGTCGTCGTGTCAGTTGTCTCCACTCCGACCGTGGGGGTGAGTTTCGCTCCGGCATTCTCGCCAGATTCTGTGCTGAGCAGGGCATCACCCAGTCCTGGACTCTTCCAGACTCTCCACAGCAGAATGGGGTTGCTGAGCGCCGGCTAGGCCTGGTCATGGAGATTGCCCGCACCTCCATGATCCACGCCCGCGCGCCCCATTTTCTGTGGCCCTACGCGGCTCGGTACGCCGCTCACCAGCTGAACCTCTGGCCTCGCGTCTCTCGGCCAGGGGCTTCACCGACCAGTCTTTGGACAGGGTCCCCTGGTGTTGCGTCGAGGTTTAGTGTCTGGGGCTGCTTGGCACTTGTCCGCGACACCTCTGCGGACAAGCTCTCACCTCGCGGCGTCCCCTGTATCTTCCTTGGTTTCCCTGAGGCCTCCTCTGACTTCACCTTTTACCACCCTCCCTCCCACCGGTTCTTTGACTCTCGTGACGTCAGTTTCGACGAGTCCGTCCCCTACTTCGTCCGGTACCCCTGTCGAGGTCTCCCGGTTCCCCCCCCTCCCCTCTTCCTCGCCCCAGCTCCTCCTCCTCCCGCTCCCTCTCCTCCGGTACCCCCCCCCGGTTCCCGCTCCGTCAGGTGTGTCGCTGGCTACCCCCCCTCCCTTGGTCCCCCCCCAGGTCTCTCCTCCTTCCCCACAGTCGTACTCACAGCCTCCGCAGCAGCCGTCGGCGCTTCCTCTCCCGGCCACTG